GGACTGTGCTTTATTGGTGGGTGAGCTTCCTTGCCTGGCAGCTCAACAGGAGTTTAAAGGTTTTTTTTCTTCCTTTTATTTCATCCTTTAATTTTTCTTCTTTTTTCTTTTACCTACTAGTACATTTTGTATCCCCCAGAGAAGAGGGAAAGACAGGGTTGATCCTCTGATGAAACAGCTTTGAAAATGACTATTAATATCTTTAATGACTGTATGCTTCTTAGAATCTGGGGTAAGGGACTTGGTGACCAAGGAGACCAAGGCAATTGTGGGGACAAAAGGAGAGAAGGAAAAATTAAGGCTTTTATGAAAATGGGTCCATTCTCCAAAGAGGTCTCATTTTGGAGACCTTTATTCAGGTCTACAATGTGTGGTACCTGGTTCTGTGCCTGAATCTGGAGAGACTAAAGTTGGTGAGATTCAATCCTGCCCTCAGTGAGCTCCATGTCTCGCTTTCCTGTTAACTCTCATTGATGTGAGCTCTGCTTCCCACTGGACTACTGTGCAGAAAGCCCGGGGGTAAATCCAAGTGGAGATCCTCAGCAGAGGCCTCCTCCACCTGAGATCTTGTCAGCTAAGACCTGCTCCCCAGATAGAGATCTAATGAAGTGTAAATGTCATAATAGTGTCTGTCTCTGAGTTGGACAACACTTATCATCCAACACATGGGGGCATGTTCTCTTTACAAGCCACATTTCAGTATGGTCTCATTTCCCTGGAAAGCTACACAAGCCCATCAGACCAAATTTCAGATGATTTGCTCATCTTCTCACCAGAAAGACCAACTTTGGATCCTTCAATAGAGGTCAATTGTTATTTCAGAGATAAATTCTAGATAATTGCTTCATTCTGATCTTTTCCAGGATCATCCTAGGAACTGAATGACTATTTTCTTTTATTGTGAGATTGGCTATCATTATCTCATTGTTGTATCTTACAAAAATCCAAAAGTGTTAGTTCTTTTGGAAAATTTAGCAACTCTGACAAACTGTGGACCACATTCTTTGAATAGCAACCATTTAGAGATGAGTAAGGACTCTCTCCCTGGGAAAGAGCAAACCTTTGAAAGTCCTAAAACCACCTCATTTACCACTATCTCTGTACTATAGCACAGAGGACCTTTCGCATTTATAAGAGTCAATGGGTATTTGACTTTGTGCAGAGTCTCTAATCATTGCACCTTCTTTCATGGTGATCATTTTCTTCCTTCTTTTCTGCCTCTTCTCCCTCTCCTCCCGTATCATCTTCCTGCTTGGAAACATGGCCAGGTAGAATTGTGTATCACCTATAATGCACACAGGACAAATGTATACACAATGTCAATTTCAGCACAGTCCTATAAAACTGCAGATTCTGGACTGTGGATCTTATACCAGGAGAATCAGCATTGCCTGGGAATTGATAATGAAGGCAATTTCTCAGGCCCCAGCTGGGCCTATTGAGTCAAAAGACCTGGGAATCTTGTTCAAAATGGGCTTGTGGAAAAACAATTACTTTGCTGGCTCATGTCAGAGGGTAACATAAAATCTGTTTTTATATATGTGAAAGTAAAAGGAATGTCTGTTTGCAATCCAGAAGTCACCACTTTGTGAAGTGTCTGTGAGCCTGTTAGTGGAAGCCTTGTTCACTTTCTATTGGTAAGATCTCTATTGCAGTCTGGGAGCATCCTTTTGTCTGTCACTGGCAATAACAGAGAATTGGATAGAAACCCTCCCAGTGGCCTGTTAGTTCTTGATGAAATATTTTTTGTGTAGCTCTTTTCTTGTATCTTGGGTATAAATTTTCTATCCCCAAACAGGTGGTAAGTTCCTCACAGACACGAGCTTAAATCTCAGCAATGCCTGACTGACGGATTTCATGAAACAACTTCATTTGCTTTCTCAACCAAAGCTTTCGGTAGGCACTAGAAAACTCAGTTCTCAGTTCAACCAAAGATGCCTGAGAAGAACTGCCAAAGCAGTTCCTAATCATGCCATCTTAAGTACAGGTGCCTCTTACGAAATGGCTTGGAGAATCCTCCTTATTGTCTGAGGGTCCAGGTTTCCGAGGATTGTGAAGCCTGGGAATAGTTCTGTCCTTAACATGAGGACCACTGTGCCTTACTGGGCCAGGAAAAGTGGAATTCAGATTCCAGGATTCTAGCTTACCTTGGAGTCAGCCATAGGTGATGTCTGATAGGTGATACTTTATGTGTTATTTAGTAGGTACCGAGGCCTTTTGGGTTAATACATTATTGGATTTTTGAGTTAATGTATTATTGGGCTGTGTAGCCACTTAACATTGTGGTTGAGTTGGGTTAACTGTATTGATTCTTCCATACTCCCTGCTTCTTAAACAGAGCAATTTAGGCACAGAAAGGGTAAGGAATATGTCAAATGGCAACTAAGAGGTCATTCATATAGCTAGTCACCGACTCCTTAGCTCATTTCATCATTCTATGTACTCCCAAGCTCCTACTGCTTGCCAGACAATGAAAGTCTGTGTGTGTGTTATGAGCATGCTCCAAATAATGGTTTTGATAGTTCTATAATTGATTACATTAGTTAATTTTATTCATAATATTGGAGACACAGCAATGAATGTAACTGGATGATAATTTCTGAATTAATATTTCAAGCTAAGACCCTTGCATGCTGCAGTGGTATGAGAATTCAGAAACTTATTTCCCTCATTTAAACTGCGTAGGCTCACAGCCTGGCAATGAGTGCTTCTGGACTCTGGAGGACTTCTACCCTAATTTTATTCTAGCTCTTGATGTATTCATTAGATGCTGAAAATTCCAACCTTTGCTTTCTTCCTTCATGACTTTCTTCACACTGGTCAGAGAATGGATGAGAAACTGGTCTTCCTTTTTGCTTGCAGGCTGGCTTTCCCTTCTCTGTCTCTTGGGTTTGGACACAGACAGGGTGACATAGGACAATGCTGAGAGGAAGGGAAAGGTACTTGATGGAAGGTCTGTATTTCAAACCTCTCTTTCTGCTACCTTCATTCTCTGTGCAGTTTTTAGGTTAGCTGCAGGCACTGGAGGAATTCTTTTGGTGAATGGGCAAGAGAAAACTGGCAGGCTGCAATCTCAGCCAAAGGTGCTTTTTGCAGAGTGGGAAAGGAAGTGTTTCTTTTGCTGGAAGGGGTTCATTTCAGGGACCATGCCTCCAGTTTCTTCTGAATTCCTATACATGGTGGTGACCATGGACACTGGCAGTCTTTCTTCTGCTGAGGATACAGTAGCCTCTGACTCCATTCCCTTGGTTATTTGAGAGTCTCCATTGGGAGATGGGGGTAGGTGGGTTGGTAAAGCATGTTGCTCACAGCCATGGCCAAGAATTAAAATTCTGGGCCAGACCCTCTGGTCCACCTCCTAAAACCTTTGTTGATCTAGCACTAGGGCCTTGCTGGACCTGTTTCTTAGAGCTTTCACCCTCTCCTTTATCCTTTCTCAGGGTCCAACCACATGGAAGCTGATTACTTTCCCAAAATATTCCACATTGCTTGGTCCATTTGGGCTTTTGCAGTTTGCTTTGTGGATCAATTTATCTAGGGAAACATATGCTCACCTTTCAAGGTTCAACTCAAGCCCAAATAGAGCCTTACCTCTCCTACTTCACACAACCCCCAGGAAGAATTGACTACTTTTTCCTTAAGTTCTGTCCAGGTACATTGTGGAATTTGTCATAACATTCTGTAATTGTTGCTTTATAAACAAAGGGGTACCTTGACAGTGTTTAAAAACACAGACTTGGAAACAAGACTCCATGGGTTCAGTACCAGTTCTGCCACTTACTATTTATATAATTTTGGTAACATGATTCATTCTGTTCTTTAGTTTTCCCATTTGTAATTTGAGAGTTATAATAGTTATATTTCCATATAGGTGAAAATTTGATCTATATGTGTCTCTGGAACTTCTGTTTGGTGCCAGATCCTAAAACACTGTAACATATCTGAATAAATTGGAGTGAGTTATTCATGTATTTGAGTATTAGTGTTTGTGGATGCAGCCAGGGAGTCTAGAGACTCTTCTGGTACTTCATCCACCATAATGGCAACTTACCAGTTGGATCATTATTAGTCCGTGGACAGACTGTGTACACTGCTATCAGTGAAGGTGCCCAGAAGTTGGACCCAAGGAGTGCCTACTTATCTGACACTTTACTTTAGTTATGGTGTAAAAACCCTTCCTTTTAATGACAATACTATTTTCTATGATAAAATTGTATAGGTTTTGGTAGTCAGCATTATTTGTCTGTAAGCAAACAATAGTTAATAAGAAGAATAAATTGTTATTTCTAAAACATTATTCAAATCAATAAAATATTTCATGAGTAAATTGAACCTTTTACTTTCCAAACAAAAATATTGCAACATTTCATTTCAAAACATTTTTATTTTTATTTTTATTTATTTATTTATTTATTTTGGTCTTTTTCCTTTTTATCGGTACCGGGGATCGAACTCACGACTGTCTGCTTTCAAGGCAGGCGCTTATGCGGCTGAGCTAAATCCCCAGCCCCTCAAAACATTTTTAGTACAGACCAAAGCTCCAACTATATGTACAGTAACAAGTAACGTCAATGTTATGGATTATATGTAAGTGTCCCCCCAAAGTTTCACACTATCAAAGGTGGAGTATCTCAGGGTGATTGGATTAGTGGGGCGCATAGATGCCTTGCTGTTAGGGCGATGTTTTGTCCGAGTAGCCAGCAGGGTCCTGAGATGGAGTTACAAAGAAATTAACAAAAGGCAAGATATATAGGAAAAGAGAAACTGTGACCAGAGTAATGCAACACCTCTGATGGAGGAGAAGCCACACCCAGCATGGTCTGTGTCTTTATTTATACACAGTGTAAAAGAGGGAAGCCTGCAAAGGGATTGAAAGTGAAAGGTCTCAGTGTTCTGCTGAGAGCACGGACAGTGACACAGTCTCAGAGCTCTTTGTGCTATAGTTAACAGGGAGGAACATTGAGGAATGGGACATTTGCTGATATGCAAATGAGTTAGAGGTCAGCTTGCTTACATGGTCTGCCCCTGGTTACGTTCCTGGGATTGGCTTTGCTCTAGTCCCAAGGAGTTTGCTGACCTCCAGTTCAGTTGTAGCTCAAATGCTTCCCGAAGGAGGAGGCCTGGTCAGAAGAGGTGGGTCACTGAGGAAGTGGCCTGGACGAGATTATTTCTGTCTCCCTCTCAGCCTTTCTCTTGGTTTCCTGTGCACCATGCTCTGAGCAGCTGTTCCTCTGCCATGTCTTCCTGCCTCAGAGCCAGGTGATTATGGTCTGAAATCTCTACAATCTGTAAGCCAAAATAGACCTTTCCTCCTCTAAACAGTGAGTGTTGGGTATTTTTGTCCCAGGGATGGGAAGAAGTTCTCTTTCTTCACATTTACTGTAATTGTTCTATTATTGTTCATTTAGAATATACAGTTCAAGTGTAAGAATATGTTGTACTCCAGTCCAGGTACTGTAGATGTGAATTGCGTCTGAGATGTGTTGGAACAATTCCAAACTACTATTGATTTAATCTTTACAAGAACTCATAACTGAGTCTGGACTATTGGAGGCCAAGTGTATGATTAAGACTTTTCTGAATTAACTTTGTTTTAGTCAGTTGTGTCTCTATAACAAAATGCCACACACACACTATGTATAGAGTAAGGACAAATTGAGTTTGGTTCTTGTTCTAGAGGTTCAAGTCTAAGATCAGGCAACGCCAGTGGGTTTGAATCTCTGGCAAGGGAAGTAAATCATAGCAGGAATGAGTGTAGAGCACAGTAGTATACTGAACCAGGAAAGGGAGAAAGAGAGAGAGAGAGAGAGAGAGAGAGAGAAAGAGAGAGAGAGAGAGAGAGAGAGAAGGGGGGGATAGCCATAACCTCCTTTGGAATCACACTCCAAATCTTAAAAGTTCATAGCAACTCCCAGTACCATCATAACTTTAAGAGATGAGCCTTTGGAGGACCCCCATCATCTAAACTACAGAAACTTCAATATTGAATGTTTATTAAAGGACAAGTAATGAAAATGTTCTAATTTGAAGACTACATATATGTAAAACTCAATGGTAACCACAGAAATTATTAAGTCAACAGAGACTTTTGGTAGTGTATTTTATCACTGACATTGTTTGAATTGGTGTGTATGGTAAATAGAGAAGGCATAGTGGGGTAAATTTAGTTGGTTTTACTATTGTTTTCAATTTTCCATGGCATACTGGTAGCTGATATGTGAAGTGGTAACTTCTCCCTGCCTTGATTAATATGCCACTGGTGGGCCTGAGCCCAAGAATAAAGAGCATTGGAGTTCAGAACAAGTGAGAATAAAAAATAATAAGCCCTTGACTCCAACAAAAGAAGATGCTAGAAAATACATTCAAGGATTCAAGTGAAAAGATGAGAAGAACATTGAAAGAGCTTTGATGACAGCACAGAGCAAAGGAAGTCTTCTGTAATACAAAGCATGATTCTTACATCTAGAAGTTTTACAGATGAACTAAAGGGGCTCATGGCTGTTGAGAGTTGAATTAGAAGATTCAACATAAGCGATATTCTATACCTCAGAGCAAAATTGTAAAGAAATCATGGAAGAAGTACTTACATAAATTGCTATTTGGTATACAAATTATTTGGTGTATTTGTATGTGAGACGTAATATATTAATAGTATGTCCAGAATGAGCAAAGAACAGATGGAGAAAAGAAATTTATCTGAACTGATGAGAGAATTTAACGCTAGAGAAAACACTGAAGTCTGCGAATAAGCAGTAGGAAATACTAAAGAGAAAAGCTGTGTAATGACACATTCTGATAAAATTGCTGAACTTAAAGAGTAAATAGAAAATCCTATAAACTGCAGGATAGAAAAACAGTTACACAGAAAAAGAAAAGAATCAAATTGTCACTTGAACATTTTTTGGCAATACTACAAACCAAAAGACAGTGTGATAATGTCTCTATATACCCCCAAGAGAAAGTTCATGCCTAGAGATTTTATATGCAGCCAAGATATTATTCACCTGCCAGAGTGGAAGATGCAATTTATGGTTTTGCAGTAAGTCAGAGAAAGGATATACCCAACTCACCATGTACTATGTGAGACAAATAACTGAGAAAGGATTCTAAACCAAGGAATGCACAGTGCTACACTCAGTGAGGATATGTAACATAAGAGTTAAGTAAGATTCTGAAGTGGTGAGGTACAGCACTTGGATAATTCTTTGCAAGTAAATGTACTAAACTGGTCTCTTAGTCCTGGTTAGAGGGAAAGCAAAAACAGTCAAGCAGTTTCATCTTATGGAATATAAGGAGGAAGAAAAGAGAGGAAAGAGACAAGACTTGTTTCCCAACTCTATTTACAGTGGAGCCTCATGCTCAGTAAGGCCAAGAGTTGACTTATGGTTGTCTTGAATAATGTTTCTGAACTACAGACCTTGCACTGAAAATTATATAGCAGGTCCTCAATAGAGAGCTCTGATCAGCTAAATTTCAAACCCAAATTGGCCAAGCTAAAATACAGAACACTCTGAGCTCATTTGAGTTGAAAAGAGAATTTTCTCTTAATTAAAAGTTGTGGTTTAGGAACTCAGGTTACTTTAAAATATAGAGCAGTAGGAATCTAGGTGTTTGACCACTAGCCTCCACTTCAGAACAGAGAATTGAACACACTCTTCCGAGCATCTTCCTGGGACCCATCATAGAGAAGGTGCTTTATGCCAATAAAAACACTGCCTGCTGTCTGTTCCATTCTGCACACATTTCTTGCAAAAGCTACCACTTTTGAGGAATGGCTGGCTTCCTAGGTGACAGAAAACATTCTATGTATAGAAGGCAAATACTCTCTGATATTTAGATTTCAATGAAAATGTTTTTAAAAGTGCCAGACTCTGCTGCAAGCTTCCAGAAGATGAGGGATAAATAAATTGGGGCCACTATTCAATTTTAGCAGAGCTAGTCACTGCTCTTAACTTCTCCTTTTTTATGTCTTGAATATCTTGTGTTCTCCTTCTAGCTATCTAGGTTTTACTTTATTCTATGTTTTTCTTTGCTAACCAAAGAATTTCCTTTACTTTATTATTTCTACTAAAGTGGCTACCACTGGATTTTGCTGTCCAGCTTCCACATTCTTTGCTAGAACACTTCTGATGTATTTTGCAAAATTCTTCCTGCCTACATCCCCAGAGCTAGGATGGAGCACATATCCGGAAGACTCACCAGCTGCATTCCTCAGCTTCTGGTGAGTTCAGAAGGGGGACCATGTGTTTTGCCATCCAAATGATTTCCAAAGGGGATGGGGCATGATTAACAATTATGTAACTCAAGCGCATAGATAGAAATTCTTTTATGTAGAAGCAAATACGTGCTCATCATAGTTCAGACGACCACTCAGCTCCAGCAAATCTGGGCAGAATGTGCAACTCGTATTCAGGGAAAAGAAGTTCCCCTTCCAGGGTTTCCTAGAAGAGATGAACTCTTATTTTGACTGGGAGCTATATGAAGTGAAAGGCTGGAAATTTCTACAGTCACTATAGACACACTGTTCTCTGATGATGAGTCAGGGAGCCAAAGAGTAGGGGAAGACAGACAGGCAAGGTCCCGGAAAATCAGAAGTTGAGCCCTGTTACTACAAGTCTCTGGTACCTTTCAGTCTCTCTGCCACAGCCTTTCATCCTTATGTCGTTTTCCATGTAGGCCAGATCTGCTCTAAACTCTGAGCTGAGCCTAGAGGACGTATTTTAATTTTTCTATGGAATAGCTTCTTTGAGAAGTCCCACCATTATTTTGAAATGGATTGCACAGTGATCCTAAAGCAGCTGTGTCCCACATGTTCTGTTTTAGTTATTTGGTCATTTATTTAGTGCCCATTTTATTTCATTCATTCAGGTTTGGAAATTTTGTTTGCTGTCTCATGTCTTCCATTATATCCTAAATTGCACAAGTTCATTTTCTCCTCTAGATCCAGCTGGAAATTTTCAGATCCTCTTGGAGCTATGTCTTGCTTTTCATACTTCCTCCTGGTTTGAAACCCTCGAGGCAGCATTGTTGGATTGTGTCAACAGAGTCTGCACAACTCAGGTCTACTTCAAATGATTTTACACATAAAAATACTTATGACTACAAAATAAACCTGTTATAATGAAATGTCATACTGGAAATAGAAATACTTCTCCTATGGTTTTGCATTATAATGATGTGTACTTCTCTAATAAATGCATTATACAAGATCCACTGGTATGTTCTGTAACAATGATAATTTTTTATTTTAAAATGAAAAAGTAGGGGCTGGGAATGTAGCTCAGCGGCATAAGCGCCTGCCTTGCAAGCAGGCAGTCGTGAGTTTGATCCCTGGTACCGATAAAAATGAAAAAGACAAAAAAAAAAAAAAAAAAAAAAAAAAAGAAAAGAAAAAGTAAAAATTATGATACAGAATTTCAAAACAAAATAATAGGAGATTAATAATGGTTAATAATTGCACATCATTATCTTAAAGTATTTGTTAGGATTATAAAATATAGGCATGAAATGAACAAAAATAAAACAATGAAAGTAAAAAGCATTATTTTTGATCAACTGAGATTAGTAATATAGTTAAATATCTTGTGTGTGTATATATTTATACTAAATAAATGCCATATATATATATATATATATATATATATATATATATATATATATTCTTTTCAATTCTGCAATTGAAATGCATTTGGGTTGTTCCCAAAATTTAGCTATTACAAATTGTGCTACTATAAACATGAGTGCACATATATCGCCAAGGTATGATGTTTTCAATTCTGGGAAAATACCCAGAAAAAGAGTAGTTGAATTAAATGGGGCCAACAGTTCTAGTTTTATTGGAAAATCTCCACACATATTTCCACAGTGGTTGTATCAGTTTACACCTTCACGAACAATGGAGAAGGGTCCCTTTTTCCCCACAGCCCTGCCTGCATTTGTCATTGGTTGATTTCTTGATGATAGGCATTCCTTCTGGAGTGAGATGAAATCTCAGTGTTGTTTTCATTTGGATTTCTCAAGCTTCCAATAATATGGACATTTTTTCTTGTATATCTCCACCTTAGAAGTGCATATTCATCTCAGATGCCCGTTTTGGATTGGGTCTTTGAATTTGAGAGGACTGGTTTTTTAATTACTATAATATAATTAATTCTTATATGTTCTAGATAGAAGTTCTTAGTCTGAGGGACTGTTGGCTAAATTTTTTCGCTTTCTGTGGATTTTCTTTTCACTCTGTGGGTGATTTCTTTTGATGTGAAAAACTTTTTAGTAAGATGAAATCCCAGTTGTTGATTCTTTGAAGTACTTTCCGTGTAGTTTGAGTTTTGCTCATGAACTCTTTGCCTACCCCTACATTTTAAAGATTTCTACCTATTTGTCTTCCAGTAGATTTAGTGTTTCTATTTCAATATTTAGATCTTTGATCCATTTTGACTCAGTTTAGTGCATGGTGTTAGACATGAGACTAGTTTTAGTCTTTGGCATGTGGAATGCCACTTTTTCCAGCATCATTACTGAAGAGGCTATCTTCCTTTCAGTGAACACATCTGACCCCTTTGGCAAAGATAAGGTGGCTGAGTGTCTTTGTAGCTGTTTCTGCAACTTCTAATCTATTCCACTGATACTCAGGTTTGGTTTTTTCGCTAATATTATGCTGATTTTATCACAGTAGTTTTTGCTCTGATCATTATAATTTCTTCTTTTCTATGAGTTTTGGTCTTGACTTGCTCTTCTTTTTCTGGAAGCTTGAAGTGCAGCATTAGGTTGTTTATTTGTGCTCATTCTGTTTTCCTGATATGAGAATTTCCTGCTATATATTTCCCTCCAAGGAATGCTTGCATTGCATCCCATAGGTTCTGATATGTTTATTTGCATATTCATTTGATTGTAGATATTAACAATAATAATTTCAAATCAATGATGAATGATATTTTGATATATCTATACAATAATGGTATATAAAATATCTGTAACTGTTATATTAATTATTCAAGTATTAATGATATTACTATAGTCTATTATCCATACTGAAAATAGAAAAAAAAATACAATTGAGGTTAGTGCAAGTAAAAGTGATAAATTTTTCTCACTTAAGGTCCTGGATCCCAAGTTATAAACCCTTGCTTTAATCAACCTTGATGTAACTACTGGACCAATTTTCCAAAAATTTTCACCATGTCACTTCTCTCATTACACTGTGGATGTCTAATACTTATTGGAACAAAATTAAGTCCTTAAGCTTGGCCTTCAGGTAACTACATGATCCCTTCCATATTTCTGCTAGGAACTTATACCATGAATTCTGTGATCTGGAAAGGCTGAGTTTGTTAATGTCTTGAGAATGTAGGATATCTGCATGTTTTTAAAGGGTACTTTATTTGCTAGTGAAAAAACAAACAAAATTTGCTTAAGCAAAAAATGAGTCAAATTTGAATGGATTCAGATATACAAATAATGCTTCCCTGTACCTTTCTAGATCATTTGAGTCTTTTCTTCTGCCCTGACTTAAATTCAGTCACCATCTCCCTTATCTTACCTTGATAGTGCTGAAAGTCCAGTCTTTCTTGATAAATGGTGCTAAGAAAAGCTTTTGGAATTTCTAGCTGGCATGAAATTTGGATTATATCTCTTTCCTTGAATTCACTATAGTAAACACAGTCTAAATATTCTTTCTGAACAGGTATCAGTCACTTGCCCAGTCCCAGAGCTGGAAATGAGCTCAGTCTACTAGATCTTATGGAAGGAACAAGAAAAGGGTAGACCCCAAAGCAAATCAGGTTGTTATTACCAGTGGAAAAGTCCTTAAGCTAGATAGGAAAAAGAACAAATATGTGCTATTCCTTTAAAACTGGGTTCTAGTTCTTCTATAGCATGTATCCTTTCTCTTCATTTTCTCTTATTTAGAGCAGAGTGTTATCATTGAGCAACTACTGTATGCCACTGGCTTTACCCACATCTTCAAGCTTAGAATTTATAGTCAAAGTTTGTAAATATAGCAGTATAATTTGATTTATTTCTCTATAATCAAATTGAACTTGTTCTTTGTGCGAATATTTTTTATAAGAATATGTCAGAGTTGTCTACTTAAAGCTACATTTCTTTTTGGATCAAACTTCAGCCCTCAAATTTATTTAATTCAAGGATGAAACTCCCTGTCAAGGCTGATCTTCTCAGCAATTTCTCCTAGTCTCTTTTCTTCTCTAGGATGGCGCCTGAATTCAAAGGGAAATACGCATGGTCCAATAGCAGCAGGGAAAGGTGTGTTTTGTGTTTGTTCTCACCAATCTCCTATTTGTCCTTACGTGGACTATAGTTGTGATGTCTGTGTCCTTGATCCCAAAGTTCCTCCCTCTCTGCACAGATTCTTTCTGCCTCCCTTTGTGTCCCTTCCCTGGCACACAAAGAAGCATGGCTCTCTGGGGGAACCATGAGTGCTTTCTCAGAGCTCCCCATACACGCTACAAGCTTCCCTATCTGCTTCACCCTCCTGCTTTCCAGTGGGTTCTTCCTGGGACTACTGAAGTTGGGAAGCTGCTTGGCTTTAATCATACCCTGAATTCAGGGCACCTGATTTTGCTATCAGCTCCCACAAATCTACTTATCTTTTTCCCTATAGACAGGAGGGTTACACATAAATGCTCATCCTATCCTCTCACCTGTTCCTTTATGTCAGCCCCCAGGCTTTTATCTCCTCTTTGTGTGGCACCTGAACTCGTAGGATGGATCCAATCTCCTTTCCTTCTCATCTTTAGAGTTTGCAAATAGTAGCTCTTTAGAATTAACAATCACTCCCCCCACCCTTCTCTCTTTAAAAATCCCACTTCTTTCAAAATGAACCTTGTAAACTTTCACAGCTATTGTATCCAGTGTGCTCTGGGAGCCTGTTTTTAACTACAAAGCTGAACACCTAATGCTCTGCTTTGGTCTCACTTCTGTTATTCTGTAGCCACAAATGATTTATCTCCAGTAGCTGGTGGGCAGCAGCCAACAAAATCACCTGCTTTGGTCTCTTGTCTCTGCTTTAACAAATTGTCACAAACTGAACTTGTTAAATGAGACAAGTTTTATGGTCTTAGGGTTTTGTGGAGCTCAGAAGTCCAAAATGGCTTTCAGTGGGTGAGAATCAAGGTGTGGGCAGGGTCCCATTCCTCCGGAGACCCTGAGAGAACTGACGCCTGCCTTTGCATGCCGCTAGGAGCTGTGTGTCTTTGGCTCCTGGCTTTCCTCCCATCATTACAAACTCTAGTTTTGTCTTTTCCCTTGAATGACTCTGACTTTCTTGACTTCTTCTTTTTAAGGACCTCTGTGATTACATTGGGCTCACAGGACCCAAGATCATCTCCTCAAGATCTTTAACTAATCGCATCTTCCTACTTCCTGGTCCATGTTAGGCAGCCTACACACAGACTCCAGGGATTAGAATGAGGACATTTTGGGGGCCATTACTTAGTCATGTTATCTAAAATGAAAAAGCTACACAAAGTATGCTGTCAAATATTACTTTGCTGTACATTTTAACTCCTTAAATTCTCTCTGCTGTGAGTCAGGTGCTATTATTCTTACTGGACCGAACCAAATACTAAAGTTAAACCTCACAAGTCTCAGAGTTAAGTACCTTACTCCATAGTCAATGTTCTTTCTATGACTCTCTAAAGAGTATTTCTTCCCTTGAGGGGACTCCAGTCACACCAAATTCTTCTTTAACCTTCATTACCATATCCTGTCTTCACATCATCACTTTCTGTTTGAGTGTCCATTGGAATGTTCAGAGTGCTGTGTGTATGTGCAAGCTTGTGAGTGTATAAATAAACCTTTCTTGCCAGAAAAGACTGTCATTGCCTAAAAATATGATGGTGTTAGTTACTTCTTTTGAGGCCTTAGTCCAAAATAGAGCCTACCACAGTGTGGCCACAAAGTTTTTATATCATAAAAATGTGAAGTTTTGTTTGCCCAATTAAAATTTAATGAGTTCTTACTGTATGCTGGGCTCTGAGCATGAGAGAGAGAGACAGAGAGAGAGAGAGAGAGAGAGAGAGTTCTTGTCATACTGAAGATGTTCATGGTTTAATGGCTAGACATAGGCTCTGTCACCCCTCTCCCACTGAACATCAAACTGTGACCATCGTATGTCAGTTACTGAATTGTCACAACTCTGAAATGTAGAGTTGCACTTTTTTGATCCTTGCTTCCATTTCTGTAGTTTTCTTCTTATTTTCTAACTGTTCTCATTGATGACTGCATACCATTTTGGACTAGCAAAATAGAATAGCAGATTTCATGGCTTCATTAAAAAACAAACAAACAAGCAAACTGAAACATGGTGCCTATCAGAATATCAGGAGAAAGAATTGTTTAACCTTATTATTCTTTGAAA